TTCATTTTTTCAGTCTTTTTGTAGTGCTGGAGATAGAACTTACTGCTAAGCAAGCACTCTACTTTCTTTTAAAATACATTGATTTAGAATTCAGTGTTACCCACAATTTTTTATATGGTAAACCCTTTAAAAAAAAACAGGTATTATTTCTAGCTTTATTTCATACAAAGTCAGGATTTTAAGTTCAATAAAGAAGTAAAGACTTTACCAACAGTGCCTTCCCTCCCTCTATTCTGCTCATTTTCATCTCAATTTTTAATTTCCAGTGTAAGAGGAAGAACAGAGAAAAACCACATGAAGAAAGCATAAGAGAATTCTCACCACAATCCTGCTCGAAGAACATGCACATTCTTGCATGGTTTCATTGCCTCTAAAATAGTTGACAAAATGGAAAGACATCTCTCATCACACTCATTGATACGTTCCTATTGAAACATAATTAAAAAACACTAAAGATGATGAGCACATAGTAGACTATCTCCGTCAAGCAAAACCACTGACCTGATGTTTTTAAATAAAGGATTAAGTACAAAACTGAGTCAATATAGTCAGTCAATAATAAACAACTTCTCTGGGAAAGAAGACATCATACTTAAGTGAATTTACCAAATAACAGATGCATATTCTTTTATGCATCCATACATTTTTATATTTAATTAAATGACAAGTTCTATCAAACATTATTTTTACCTCTTCTTAGGACCCAAGACTATCATGAAGGCCAATATGATACAGTAATATAAGACCTACTGAAGTACACAGAGCAACTTTCTCCTTCCTAAAGACCCTTAGGAGGCTGTGTTCTTATAATTTATCTATCTTTTCCTGAGTATCTTTCCTGAACCTATTAACTTCAGTTGTAAATCTCCTGCCACATTTTACTACCGCTATCTGGGTCTCAGGGAGCCCAGGCTCCAAGAATCCTTCCTTGAGGTCTCTTTATTTAGGGTACTAATTTTGATTCCAGAAATGGCAGTGAGCATAATTTGGAAAATGAATAGTAAGAAAAAAGTTTACCTGGTACTCCACAATTTAATCACAACTACCCTATACACCTCATAAGGTTAATTATGATCACATTTGAGGAAATCAGGACAAAAGAGGTACACTCTTTGCTAAAATAACATCACTAACCAGTTATAATGTATTGAGTCAGAACCAGATAATGATAAAAATGAATAAGTCTGAAAGGAAAAAAAGACTTTGTTACCATGAGTCAATCTGTGGTACTCCATCAATACCTGCTCTGAAAGGAAAGTCTATCTGGCTGTGAATGAAGGGCAAAGTCATTGATGGCAGTGAGACATAATCATACACACAGATATTCTGACTCCAAATATCCATGGCTTCTACTTCACCAGTGTAAATGCAATGCTGATGTGAATACCTGTCCAAGATCTAGTACCAGTAAGAGGATCACTGACTAGGTAGGGTGATTTATTATAATCACTTTTAAGTAACTACATAAAAAACTAATATATAATCTACCAAATAAGCATGGATATTCTGTGGATGAAATGAATATATATATATAGACACACACACAAAATAAAAATTAGTTCTTAATTGAAGACATAAGGAAATCACAGTAATACAGTACTGTAGAAAGTTAAAGTTAAAAACTCTCATACACCTATGAACCTAATTCTTGAATTCCACAGCTAGATAACATATGTGTCAAATTATCTTCAAGAACTTCTTTCTTTAAAATAAACATTATTTTATTACTATAATTTCAGTTTAGAAGACTGAGGTGTTTACAAATGATTAAATGATTATTTTAATGAGCTAATCCTTCCTGACATTTGGTCAATGACATAAGCAGAACACTGACACCCTTGTTTGAAACCAAAAGTTCCCCTATCCAATTTCATTCTTCCTTCCAATGCATTTTCCACTAATTCAGAGACTGAAATACAAATCTGAGCATGTCAACCTTTGGTTTAAAATCCTTCAATGAATTCCCATTGCCTAAAAGATAAATATAAACCCCTGAAGCAGGCATAAAAGGTTCTTTACAATTTTGCTCTTATTTTTTCCTAGCCTCATGTTCTACTACCAAGCTACTTGCTGCCCCGACTATCCCACTTCGCCACAATGGGCACAACTTGCTTCCCATCCATTCAAACACACAGCCACATCATTCTGTACTTCAACAGGATGGTCATCTCTCAACTGCTGGTCATCCCTTGGTCTCAGCTTAGGCATAATTTCTAACTGGGCTTGAATCCCAATTCTACCATGGATTAGATGTTCATTCAATCAGTACCTTACCAAGTATAGGTAATGCATCCCTAACCCAAATATCTGAAACTTAAACATTGGCACTAAAATTTTTGGATTTTGGAGCATTTCAGATGTTGGGTTCAAATGGTCAAGGTTCAAGTAGTAAAGTCTTCGCAAATACTTCAAAATCTGAAAACTCCAAAATCGGAAGCACTTCTAATTCCAAGCATTTCAAGTAATGGATACTCAATCTGTACCTAAAGATACAGACAGTAACAGGTACATGTCTTGGCCATATAATTAACCTAAGTTTCAGTTTCCTAATCATTAATGAGAGTAATAATACCTATGTTAAAGGGCTATACTAAGGATTACATGGGACGATTCTGTATTTAAATTTTATACCCTCCTTCAAACACTGATCCATCTCATCTTACCATCATGAAGACAAACTAGATTGGAAACTTATGTTATACCCTCTCATAAAACATATTTTTCTTTTATTTCTCTGAGAGCTCTATACGGTCAGCATTCTGTTTACAATTGTATTCCCAAGTGTTCAGAACAGTTAGAAAGCACGGTTCATTAAAGGAATGTTATTTTTGTAATTTCCTGCAAAATATGTCTTCCTCTCTAGATTATAAGCTTCATATGTATTAGGAATCGTGTTTTATATGCCCACTGACAAATACAACAACTTGTTGACAATTAATATATGTTTATTACATGAATAAATGAATCTACCAGCTGTGTGACCTTAGTCAAACAGCTTAATATCACTGGGACTGGTTCTTCATCCTCAAAATAACATTGATCCCATAAGGTTAAGAGGATTAAATAAATTATATAAGTAAAAGGAAAAGATGCTCAATAAACATCAGTTCCCTTCCCTTCTCTCCTTCCTTCAACTACTCAATCTTTCTTTGTAAATCTTCCATCTCTCCCCATTTTAGCCTATTCACAACACTGGAGAAAGTAAAGGGGGCAGACTTTCACAGATTTCCACATCAAAAGAAATGAACTAACTTAAGGTCTCCAAAAAAGAAATGCAAAAGTAAATGATCTCTTTTGGTAGCTCCACATCAGTTTCCCTCCCCATTCTTTTGAGATATGATAAACTGAATAAAAACACATTTAAGTCGCCCTTAAATTTTACCTGGATAAACCTCAGCAACGTCTGTACCAGAAGAGTATTCTGAGGGACTCCAAGCTTCACTATAGCATGAAGACTGAACAGTAGGTGGTCATAGTGCATAATCTTGGCTTCTCTTATCGTTTGTTCACACAACTGGTTAAACGCAGGGTGATTAAACATCAACTGCTTTTCGAAGTGTTTCTGATCATCGGACATCCTTTTGGCAATTGTCCACATTGCTGACAAATAGTTACTACTAGGAAATGTAGGTGCTTTGGAAAATATATCTAAAACATCACACAGGGAATTACATTCCTCAGACAGTTTTCTAGAGGTCACAGGGGTTGGTTTTGTTCCCTTGGTGAACATATCTTCACCAGAGGCCTCATGATGGAAGTTTACTTTCTTCAATTCATTATCAGATGTACCAACAGAGACAAGAGAATGTGTTGAGTCAATGGATAAGCTTCTAGAACAAAGTAGTCTGTCAACTTTAAAGACAGTGACATTGCTTAGGTCTTTTGTTTGAAAGACACTATATCCTGATTTTAAAATGAATGGACCCTGAAAGAGATATCTAATGGATGTTTGCATTCTATCATGAAAGTAATTTAACAGAAGGTTTCTTAGCTTCTGGTTTGAATGAGCATTTTTTGGTGTGCGAAATCCCAAAGTTCTGCTTTTTGGAACTGAAGTACTGAGTTGTCTGAGGTTCCATAGAAAGGAACTTGTTTTGTTGTTCATTTTGCTATCCACTGAAACACTTTCAAATGGGTTTAAAGTTGCCAGTATAAAACAAAAGTCACTCCTATTTGTGAAAGTGAACACATGCTGTCGTTTTCCTGTAAGGAACAGAGTAAAAGAAGAAAGAAAAATTAAACCAATCTTCTACTTAAATAAACACAATGCGTTTAACAGAGGCTAAGGTAGGAACCTACCAATCCAACAGATTTACATTTAAAAGGTAAAACTAGTTCACCAATACAGGCGTCCCCCATTTTTACCTCAATGTGTGCACTGTTTTAAAGTACTCAGGGTCAACCACTTTAGAAACAATTTTTGCAAAAACTAGCTTGAAAAGAAACAGAAAAAAAGAAGAAGAAAAAAGATTTCAGATGAAAAGTTCTTCCATAAAGCTTCCTCTGCGGAAGAAATTTTTGTTAGTACTGCCTTTGAAATGTCTTCAATGGAAATAAAAAGTTTAACTTTGATGGATACTTTCCAACATGATGCTTTAGCAACGACAGAACACGGACTGTTAATAATACTGACTTGGACAAGCTGGACTTTGCTCGGGACAGGAAGCAGGAAACAAAAACGATGTGCCCCACGCTTAGATGTCACTCACCGGACCCCACAACCCGTGTCAACATGCTCCTGCAGCTGGGACACCCAGCACTAACCTACCTCCTTAAACTCACTGCCGGGGCTACTCCTTTTTGTAGGGCAAAAAGTCTAGGGTGTTATTCTGCCGGTGGCCCCACCTGTGCTCGTCCTCCAGTCACCTTACAGCAGAACCCGTGCCACTAAACGGAGGCCGCCATGATAACTTTGCCGAGAAGCGCGCGAATCGCGAGATTTTACGGATTCCCTTACAGGTCAAAAAGGATATGTTCCTGGCGGTTGCAGAAGGGTATGTTTGGAGAGAAAAAAAAAAAAGGCCACCAAAAAGAATGACTAGTTTTATTGAAGGCAGAGATGGAAACTAGGAGTGGAAGAAACCACGGAGCTTATAAAGACAATATATGATCGTACACTGAAAGTAACCCATTCAAGTCACAACTTTGAACGCCCAAACTATCTGGCCGGGCGGCCGAGTTCAAGGCGGCAGCCTCAGACTGCGCCTGCGCCACTCTTGGCGGCGCGGGTTGCCCAGAAACCGTGCCGCCGCGGTCGCTAGCTCTAGGTTTTGTTTAAACATGGCCAAATTCGTGATTGCGGGTGAGTGATCCCCGCGCTCGCTCACAGATGACTCAAAATGCCAACAACTCTCCTCCCCTGGCCCCTTAAAGTGTAGATTGCTCTTCTATCTTCGTTCCTTCATTCCACTCAATCTGGCTTCTACTTATGCCCCATATGGAAGCTGTCCCCACCGAAGTTACCAGTGACTTTTACTAAAGCTGTCCCCACCGAAGTTACCAGTGACTTTTACTAAAGTCTTAGTCTTATTCACCTTCCTCAATTCATTGAACACTGTGATCTTATCTGGCTTCTATTCTAACAACTCCAGCCTCTACGGACCACCTCAGGCTTTCTTGTGCTTTTCAAAGTGTTTATTGGATTGTGACAGTTTGCCAAGCACAGCTGAACACAGGGAATACAGGTTTTTGGTTTTGGTTTTGGTTTTGGTTTTGAGGGGGGGAGGGGGGCATTCTTCGGGGAGTACTCGTTCTCATGAGATAAAAGCACATAATGAAGTAATTTTGATATGGTGTGACTAATGTAATGAGGGAGTGGTACACTTACCTCTGGATGAATACACCCCAGATCTGGAGGTGGGGGTGGGAGTAATAGGGACCCAAGGAACTCACTAGGGGAACTGAGTTGTGAAGGTTTGGATAGGGAGGCCATTCCAGATAAAAAGCAGAGGGTAAAGCCTCGTGGTCTAATGGAGGACCTGAATGTTGGTCTTTGGGGCTAGATCTACAGAAGCAAGAGACAATCTTACTTAGACAGGTAAGGGCAATTGTTTTGCACTTCCTATACACCTAGCAAACACATTTGAACTGTGTCTTGAAACGAATGGGGAGTTCAAAAAAAGTTATGAAAATTTTTAGACAGGAGAATCCTAATAGGCTTGCTTTTTAGGAAGTCCATCTTGGCAGCAATGCAGGATCAGAGAGGGACTAAAGTGTGGACTGGCAGCAAAGAACCATGGAAGGGGCTTATATTGTACCTGTTTCCTCCTGTTCTCAGCAAATTTTTTTTTCTTTTTTTAATTTGTTCGTTTTGAGAGTGAGGATTGAACCCAGGGACACTTTACCACTGAGCTACATCCCCGAGCCCTTTTAGTTTTTATTTTGAGACAGGCTCTCACTAAGTTGCTTAGGGCCTCAATAAATTGCTGAGGATGTTCTCCAACTAATGATCCTCCTGCCTTAGCCTCCCAAGTCAACTGGAATTACACACGTGAGCCTTCAGCATGTTTCTTAAAAGAGTAGATTCCTCTTCTATTTTTATTCCTTTATTTCACTCAATCTGTCTTTACTCAGTCTGTATCATTATGGAAACTGCCCCACCAAAGTCACCAATGACTTTTACTAAAGCTGTTCATTCTTTGTCTTATTCAACTTCTTTGATACATTGAACACAATTGACATTTACCATCTGCCTAAAATCTATTTCCTTTGCTTCATTAAAAGAATATTTTTGAGCATTAACTATATGTTTGAAAGAGTGAAAATTTTACAGAAAATGTTTTGTGTATGACAGTTGCAAGGCCATGTTCTTCAGTAGTGGTGGCAAGGAATCTTAGACAGGTAAGGGCTTCCCATAGGGAGCAATTTTAAACAGCTGAAAAATGAAAGTCACCTAGAAGAGAGGAGATAGGGCAGAGCAGAGCAATTTAAACATGGGTATCAGGGAGTGGAATGGGAGTGAGGAGAACTAATTTGGTGATACTTGAGAATATACAATTAGCATAAAATTGAAGTAAGTTTAGTAGGACTGGAGCAAAGAGTATAAGAAAGTGACTATCTCAAGCTGAGGCCTGAGATAGATAATGTAGATTCTTCTGAGCCACATTTAGTAGTTTAGATTTTATCCAAAGTGACTGGAAGGTTTTTGGAAGGGGAGAACATGCCTATTTGCCTTTTGCCTGTCTGACCATTATGGACATGGTGTGAGAGAGAAAGACTGAATGCCCACAGACAAGTTAGGAGACTGGCACTATAGATCAGGAAAACATTGGTGGTAACCTGCCCTAGCACTGTGGACAATGGAAATGGAGAGAAGTGAGAGATGGAAATGGAGAGAGATAAGGGAGGCAGAATCTATACAACTGATTGTCTAATTGTTTGGGGGAGATCAGGTAAGGGAGAAGAAATAATAAAAATTATTCCCAAGCAATAGTTTGGATAACTGGGTCTATTAGGAATCATTTGAAAAAATTGAGCCGAAGAATAGGCTTAATACTCTTAATATTCTTAAGTAATTGGGGAGATGGACATAAAAAGAACATAGGAGAAGGAGCACATTTGGTAGAGAGCTAGCATAGACATGTTGAGTACCTATAAGACATTTAGAAGGAGATGGGAGAATACAGGAGGATATATATAGACATTTAGGTAGGTATAGGGATAGGTCTGAGCTGAAAATACAGATTTCTACATGAAACTAAGGAAAAATATGTAGGGTACACAGATAAGTCATTTGAAGACTGATGTTTTAAACGGGTCAATAAGGGAATAAGGACCAATAAAGTATAGAGAACAGCCAGAGAGATAGAAGAAAAACCTGCAGAATGTCCCATTATATTTAGTGTTTTCAAAGAATGGAGGAGGGTATCAGTAGTGAGTGCTCCTAAGGGTCAACAACAAGAAAAGGCTTTTAAAAATACTAGGGCACAGATGACCCTAGTAACTGAGAGAACTGTCAGATAAGCTAGATGGCAGTGGGATGAGAACTAAATGAAAGTGGAGAATTGAGGGTGGGGTGGCAGTATGGAGTGTTTAGAAGGGCATATAGAATGTTGCATTTTTTTAACACACAAGAAACAGCATGAATATATTTATGTCGTAAAGGGAGCATTAGAAACAGATAAGATTCTATCTGTGGAAGATAATCAGTTCAGCAAGGTTTCTTAGAGGGCAAAAGATGCAGTGATTCAAGTGGTAGGATTAGACAGAGAGAGGAGAAGGGATTCCTTTTTCATTGAAAAGGAGAAAGGAGGAAAGGAGGAGTCCAAATGCAGACTGACTTGCAGGTGTGATGGCAGAAGTCTGAGGGATTTCCCCACTGAGTCCATTTTGTTTAGTTTGGTTTGGTTTTTGTAAAGTAGAAAGCAAGGTGTCTCTTACCATCATCAATGTTGTCAGTGTTCTCCTCCTTCCTCCTCCTCCTCCTTCTGTTTATTTTTTCTTTGTTCTGATGCAGTTCTGGAGACTGAACCCAGGACTCACATTTGCTCACACTCCACTACTGAGCCTTATCTCTAGCCCCTGTCTTCTGATAGTGCAGAGAATGTGGGGTTGGGGAAGAGATTTGGAGGAAATGGACATAATTTGGAATAGTCACTGTGGAGAACAGAAATGAGTGCTTGTAAGGGAAGCAGAAAGCTCACCAGGCAGAGTTGAGGGCTAATAAAGTCTGGTGACCATGAATTTATAATGTTGTCCCTCTGCTTGGTTCCACCATGTTTCTTCAGTGGTAATTAGCAAATGGGACCCAGGCACAGAGAAGGCAGGTAATTGAGTTCATTGAAGGTGAAGGACTTTTACCAAGCTGATTTCCTGGGACAGAAGGCCCAGATTATTCAAATCATGAGCCTTAGAATGATGGGCAATGTATTTGAACTAGTCAGGCTAATGGACAGACGGAGTTGATAACTTGGGAGTTCCCATGCTGTTGACGAACTAGTGACTGGAATTAATTAAGGGAGAATGTTACAAAGAAGTTTCAGCACTTGTTACCTGTACCTCCTGCTCTGTCTTAAACCCATACCTATTTCCTATGGTGGATTTAACCCATTAATGACTGCAAAATGTGTGTCTAAAGCCCTTATATAGCACATGAACTTGAGATTTACATATCTAACTGCTGGTTATGCTCACTTAAATACACTACAGATATCTCCAACTACACTTATCTGAAATTAAACTTCTTATCCATAATTTCTCTCCAGTAAAGCCACAATCCTCTATCCAAGTCAGAAAATAGAAGTTATCCCACACTCTTCTGTTTCCCTCAGTCTCTCCCTCACCACTAACTGTGGGCCACACATGAAATCCACAGGTGCCCTCCCTCATTACAACTCCTCATTCACCCTTTGGCTTTGAGTGGTTTCTGGTGATTAGTTCATTGCTTAATTGATAGTACTTAGCATCCTCGTAATATAATAAAAATTAGAAGTTTATGTCATAGCAGTTTATACTACAATTTTGTTATAAAATTATATTATAACTATGATTAATTCCATAACTTCATGATAATTTCTGTGTGATAAAAGAAAACATTTGAACTCTCTTAGGTAGAGCAGATTGTCCATATTATGCAAAAACAGAACTTCTGGCAGACTATTTACAGAAGAATCTTCCTGATTTTCAGATATATAAAATTACACAACATCCTGATGTTTGGGAGGTAAGATGCCTTTTTTTTTCTTCTTGTTGTTTGTCTTTTTAAGAAGACTTGAACCCAGGACTTCCCATGTGCTTAATTTGTTAAACTTGTATGTGCATAAAATTACATTTTAATTTGATTAAATATTAGCTAGTGTATCATATTGACCTCCAGTAATAAGTGTTCATGTACTAATGATGTTTGAATACTATAAAATGAGCTCTTGATTATCAGTCTCAAAACATCATTGCTTTTTCCATAATACCTAGTAGATCAAATGAAACCTAACCATAAGTAGAATAAGTTTGGCTCTTCCATCACCAGCCCAACCAAGAATTCAGCTAGCTTAAATTGTACTTGTTAACTGTACATTTTCTTCCAATGCTTAATCGATAGTATTTAGCATCCTCTTAATATAGCTGATTCCTAATAGGAGGAGGATTTATTTATTTGAAATACCCATATTTGTGACTAAGTTGCCTCATAAGCACACTTTGAGAAGGAGCTTTGGGTGCTTTGGTTATGAAGGTAGAAGCTGGACTTGATGGCATCCTCTTTAGTACACTCATTATGCCTTTGGACCCATATGATCCATGAAATAATTTATGCCATCTAGTAATAAGTCCTCCAAGATTCTGGTTGATGTCTTTCCCCAGAGATACTTTTCAGGAGTAATATTAGTCAAATTACCTATATTTTCAACTGCACATAGTTTTCAGAACTAAACTGATTCTTGTCACCTCTCTTCTCTACTATCCATTATAAATTCCCTTCATCCTCTACTGGTGTAGGAGACTTATCAGGTGTGGTGACCTTAAGGGATCTGATTCCTAGTCCATTTTCAGGATAGAATTGGTACACTTGTTCATTTACTGTCAAAATCAAGCAGGGAAATAACAAAGACACCCCAGTGGAACCTAGATCCTAAATATTCTTTACTGCTTATGTTAGGCAATGGCTGCTCTGTATGCCCATCATCAGCAGGGTAATTATTCCTTCAAGCATGGTATCTCCTCTCCTTGCCTGCTACTTGGCACAGGAGCTCAATGTGACTAATGGAAACTACAGTTTAAATTTAGTGGTACTCTTCCTGTTTCCCTTGATAGAAACAGTCTCCCTTTAGGATTTAGAATCTCACACAGTCTAGAATAATAGAGTCTATGGAAGCACAGGTTACCCAAGTGGGTCCCTGGGGGTGATGGTAAGCAGGATCACTCTTAATTCTACTCCTTGGTTCCTGGATTCAGGTATTCTACATATTAGGGCAAAATATTACATTGATTTATGATGTGTATAACATCTTGAAAGAGATGCCCCATCCTTCCAAGGTATCAGTCTTTAAGCTAGCACCTGTACCTTTGGTGGCCTGTCCTGCCCTCTATTATTCTGGGTTATGTGATATATGATAAGGGCTGTGGAACCCATGGTTACATGCTAAATACTGCATCTCTTTGCTGTAAACTGAGTCCTTTCATTCAAAGTAATTTTGCAAGCCCTAATCCATACTGGTCAAAGATCTAAGAGTAGAAAAGGCAGTTATTTACCCAGAATACATGTAAATGAAATTCTAAATAAATCATTACTCTCTTTAGGGTGATAGGAGTTCAGTGTGATCAATTTGCCATGAAAGTGCATTGGCTTTGTTGCTGAACATTTAGCAGCACAATAACTAGGTAGACTTTACTGAGTGGCAGCCCATTCTCTTGAGCTATGGTATAACTTCTGTCTCTTCTGTGAGCAGACTGCAACTGTTATTTCATCCCCTGGCATTAGTTATAGTATTTCTTTAACAGTAGATGTTTTCTTCTGCTGTCTCAGATCTTTTTTTTTTTTTTTGAACTGGGATTGAACTTAGGAGCACTTAACAACTGAGCCACATCCCTATCCCTTTAAGACAGGGTCTCCCTAAGTTTCTTAGGGCCTTACTAAGTTGCTGAGGCTGGCTTTGAGCTTGCTATCCTCCTGCCTCAGCCTCCCAAGCCCCTGGATTACAGGTATGCACCAGTCTGCCCAGCTTTCTCAGATCTTATCATTGGGAGGCCTAGTATACATAAACCAGAAAATGGTAATTTACGCTTTTTCTGATAAATATGAGCAGATACTCCCAAGTGACTTTTAGCTTATTCAGTCTGAATCATATAAACAATATTCACAGAAAATAAATATCAAAATTTATGTGTCCCTAAAACTGGAAATAGGTCATATATAAGAAGAATACAGGGGATATAACTCACTTTTAAAAAATAAGTCTAATTAGAACATCTGGCCTCTCTTTAAATTAAAAATTTGTACTCCAGGTTTCCAAAAGACTAACTTTCAGTAACTTTATTTGACTAATGAATTTGAAGATTTATTTTTTCTTTTTTATTAATTTGTAACTTAAATCATCATTATTTTTCTATACTTACTTTTTACTGTTTAAAGATACCCAAATTGGTATTGAATTGAATTCTTGGGCAGATCTAATATATAATTTTTTTTGGAGTGTCATTCAACAGGAATGGCTGAAAGATGTGTGTGAAAAGAATAAGTGGAATCACAAAAAGTCTCCCATTATCTGGAGAGAGCTGCTGGATCGTGGAGGAAAGGGTTTGCTTTTGGGAGGATATAATGAGTTCCTGGAGCATGCTCAGGTGCATAAATTAACTTGTCTGTTCAAAAAAATATATTATTGTATTACATTATTATATGTTTCAAATGTTATTTTCAGAATATTCTGTCATCTCTCTTTGAGTTAGAACAAAAATTTTCCATTATGACCATTATTGAGTGATGATCTATTTTCTGAGGTTGACTTTTTCATTCTCCATGTTTAGCTTTACTATGATGTCACCTCTAACATGATGACTGAGCTAATGATGGTAATTGCTCACGAGAACCTGGAGGCACATATAGAAAAAGAGCTGGAGAAGGAAACCCAGAAAGATCTCATCAGCCCCTTGCAGGTCTGGATCACCAGGTGAGATAGTCAAACACTAGGATTTAGGAAATTGGCTTTTATTTTTAGAAAGAACAATAAGATGGGATTAATTTCATGGTGGAAGAATACCTGAATGTCAAGTTTGAGATGTGTGTTGGGAGCATGCATGCACATTTATGGTTAGATATATGTGTGTGTCCTCCATTGTAACCCCATGTATGAGTTCTAGATTTCACACATACGCGTGCATACACACACATGCACACACACCCACTTAACTGTACAGTATGTCTGCTTTGCCAGATTTCTGTCTCTGGCACTGGTCCTCTCTAACCTTTGCCACTTGCTAGGTTTCCTTGGCTCCTCCTCTTGTGCTCCCCTTCTGTGTCCCCACTCCCCTCACCTTGTTTTTCCTTCTTTTTTCTCCTTCTCAAGTTTGCTTGCCATTGCTCCCAGTCTGGGACACATCCAGTCTTTGCTGTCACTGTCTCTCTTTCTTTGATTTGGTTTAATTTGATTTTTACTGGTGCATTATAGCTTTGCATAATAATGGTATTCATTGTGATACATTCATACATGCACAATTCACATTTTAGTCTGTTTAATTCTCTTGTGTCCTCCTTTCCCCCTCCCCAGCCCCTTCCTCTAATCTACTGATCTCCCTTCTATGTTCATGAGATCCCTTTTATTTCCTTTTCCTCTCAAGCTTCCACATACGAGAGCAAACATACAACCCTTGACTTTTTGATCTGACTAATCTCACTTAGCATAATGTTCTCCAGTTCCATCCATCTGTACTCTCTCTCTTTTTCATCTCTATACTGTCTCTGTCTTTCTTGCTCTCTCCCTCTCCCCCTCTCCTTTCCCCACCCCACCCCACCCCTCAGTCTGACTCTCACATTATCCTTCTGTAGAGTAAGAAGAATGTGTGTACCTAACATGTGCACTTACTTTAAAGATTATTGTTATTTTGAAATATTACAAATACTCAAAGAATTGAAAATTGTTTAGTAAACATCTAGGATCCTATAACCCAGCTTTAATAAATGCCACATCTAAAGAGCATCAAAATGGTATAGATACTGTTGAAACTCCTGTTGCACCCCTCCCCAAGCCGTTGTGAACACCAGAAATTCTCAGATGCAATTCCAAACTCCCTACAGTTGATTATAACAGAAATAGAAGACCCAGATACTTGCAAAATACAGTTAAAAAGATACCATACACAGCCTGTGTTGATCCTAGCCATTTTTACAAGGATTTGTCTTTGTGGAAATTTGGAAAAGATGGTCCTTTCTAAAAAGAAAAAAAAGTCATTACTTTATAGATAAGTGTATAAAATTTTAAAAAGCTGTGGCTAACTGAAACTTAGGTCTTTTTCTTTTAAGAAGAAATGTAAACGTGTAATTGAAGTAGTGTGATATATCTCTTTGAAATTTTGCTTTCTGCATATAGGGAATTCTGTTTTATTTGAAAAACATATTACACAGGTACATGTCTTACTTGAGATTGTTTTGAGATACCCAGAGCAAGGAGTTATTAATGAAAAATTTTTTGTTCTATTTCCAATTTTTAGCCTTCAAAATGTCTATGCAGCTGTAGAATGCTTAAAAATATTAAATCATCCTACAATGCACATGCAGAAATATCTATTAAGAATAAATGCTTAAGAGGGCAAAGGATCTAACCATTCACAATTCAACTCTGCATTTTTATCAGTGCAACCTCTCCTGCCTGCTACAACCTCCTTCCCATACTGACGAGTGGTGAAGTGTTTGGGATGCAGACGGAAATTAGCCTAACTCTGTTTGACAAGGAGCAGTCGGAAGAACTACTCAAAAGCCTGGTAATGGAGACACAGGACCTGGCGTCTCCTGTCCTCCGCAGCGTCTCCAGCTGTACTACGGAGAAATACGCCTTCTACCAGGCCCATGTGGTCATTGTCCTTGACGACAGCACCGAGGAGGAGGTGTACGGTCTAGAAGAGAGCCTGAGAAGCAAGGTGCCACTGTGTCGTCTCTACGGAAACCTGATTGAGAAAAATGCTCACGAATCTGTCAGGGTTATTGTGGGAGGAAAAACCTTTGTAAATCTTAAAACGGTCTTGCTTATGATGAACGCCCCAAGCATCGCCCACAACATTATCGCAGTGGCTCTGGGGGTGGAAGGACAAGCCAAAGCGGCAATAGCCAGAAAATTGAAAACAACTGCTTCATGTGAGTGAACTCCTGTTGATGTTTGTGTTTGTGCTTTTAAACAACAGGATTTCAAGCAGCTAGAAAGAAGGTGCATCCCCTTGGATTTTCTGGATAGCTAGAATAAAAGTAGAAAGTAGATACTAACAACTTATTTAACTACAGTAGTCCAACTACAGTAGTTTGCCTTAGTTAAGGGATATATTCTAGGACCCCCAGTGAGTGCCTGAAACCACATATAGTACTAGACCCTACATATTTGTTTATTTCTATATGTACATACTTGATGAGGTGTAATTTACAAATTAGGAACAGTAAAAAGTTAACAATAATAACTAATGATAATATAGAATAATTACAACAATATATTATAATAAAAATTCTCCAAAACATGAATTATTTCTGGAATTTTCTATTTAGTATTTTTAGACTGTAGTTCATTGAGAGAAACTGAAGTCATGAAAAGTAAAATCTTGGGTAACAGAGACAACTGTACTGGGCATTTTTTTTTAACCAGCTTTTATAATTGATCTGGTCCTCCATTATAAAAACTAATGAACATGGGCTAGGGTTGTAGCTCAGTGGTGGAGCACTTGCCTAGCATGTGTGAAGCACTGGGTTCAATTCTCAGCACCACATATAAATAAATAAAATAAAATAAATTAATGAACAGATATTTGATATAAGGCCTATACTAGTCAAATAATAATTTGAAGCCTAATATTCAATTTTTTCTCAATAATGGTCAATAAAGGTAATCGATGCTTAAAAAAATTTAGAGCTATGTTAAAATGGCTTTGCCCCACTTCCCATACATGTGACCTTGAGCAAACATGCTGTTCCTCAGTTTTCTCATATGTAAAATGAGGATGTTAACAGCACCTCCCTCTCAGAATAGATGTAAGGATCCAATGAGATAATATTTCTAAAGTACCTGTGTGCAGGAATACCTGGCACATGGTAACATTTGCAAGGATGTTAAACTTTATCAATAGGCTTATAATATCTGGTCAGTGCTCCTATTATCTTTGAACTGGTAAACATCAGAACCATCTGAAGATGAAACTGGATCACAAAATGGATGGTTATATTTTCAAGGTCAAGAACACATCTGACATATTTTAGTTCTCTGTGCCAGAGATGGAGCAGTTGCAACACTGAGAATGGGAGGAGGCACAAGACTTTACAAGAATGAAACACAAGGAAGTGCGAACCTGGAATGCCTAAACCAGGCCATGGAAGACTTGAATGAGCCCCTGATATTAGAGCCTGTGCTGCTTTATCTGTTTCTTCCCAGTGAAACCCCAGGAAGTATAACTCCTTGTATTCTTGTATACATATCTTTAGAGTCTAACCTCCACAGTAAAACTCAACCAGACTAATGCTAAAATTATTCAGTAGGAAATGAAACATTTCCTAACCATTTTATCTCTGTCATTGACCTTATAGTTATATATGTAGACACTGATTTATCACAAAAGATTCATAATACACTGATGAAAAATGTCAAGAAGAGGCAGTGATAGAAAATTTTAAATGAGGCATATGTGTTGGGGGCTGGTAGCCTAGGCTTTCAACTAGAAAGGTGCTGTCTTGTGGGTCTGCTGGTGCAATAATTATAAGTTCTGCTCTACTTAAAGCAAATAAGCATGTGATGAGCAGAAAGAAGTAAAAATAGAGGAAAGCCAGGAAGAGGAGGGAGAAACATTAGAGAAATAGTTAATTGAAGTGGAATTGTCAGTGAAACAACAAGGAGAACCCAGTAAAAGTAAAAACACTTAAGCAAAATGATGTGAAAGTGGGAAACCACTAAGGAAATCATTCAGGGATCGTTGCAGCTGCCAAGAGAGTGGCAAACCTTTCCATAAAAGCCAGGTTCAGCGTATCCCTAAGTTCAGTTCACACATTCTCAGACCATGTGTAGTCTTAATTGGTACTCTGTGTTACAAGTGATAGAAGTCAACTCAAAGTGCCTGAAGTGGTAGTTTTTTTAGGCATAGCTGAACACTGTGGCTCCAATGATGACATCAGGACTCACTGGTCTCTTTTTCTGGCTGACCATTCAGTTAGTTTTACTGTAAGGTAGGCTCTAAGGTGTTGCAACATGGCCACTGTCATTCTCAACTCACAAGTTCATGACTTACCTAACCGGTAGAAAGAGGACTTTCTTCCCTGCTGGTTTGTACAAAAGTACTACAAACTTATTGGCCAGGTTCAGACCACATGCCTATCTCTGAATCAGTCACAGTGTCCAAGAGAGTAGAATCTGGATCTCATGTCTATTGCTGGATCTAAGAAATAACAACAGCCCCATCCAAACCATATGGACTGAGATTGAAGAAAGGGTAATTATTTAAAGAAAACCCAGGATACTGTTAAAGAAAAAAAGAAGGAGGAAGAGAGACAAAAAGCAGCAGATGTTCACTAATTTTCTGAATCATAATTTAGGGTTTTTAGAGCTATAAAGAGACTCAGAGCCAGTAAGAAAAATGAGACCCAGTGAGATTAAAAGTCTTCTTTAATCTCTAAGAAGAAAATCTACCTTATGTTTACCTGGGGCTGGAGAATAATTTTCCTGTGTGGATCATGAACTCCAAAGCCTGACTACCTACCCTACCCAAGCTCCTACATCATACAGCTAATGGATGGACCCAAGTGCATATTATAAGATCTCTTGGGAGTAGGGCAGTGAAGGGAGAAGTAGCTATTCCAACGTCATGAGCCATTTCGGTATAAAAGAGAATGTCAGAGGATGAGATAGGCATTGATGGGAGTCCACTTGAGTTCCATTCCCACCTTCTTCTTCCCTGCCTGTCCCTTGCTAGAGATCCAGGACCAACCCCAGTGATATAATTTTCAGTAGTATTTTCTTTCAGGGAACTTTCAGTATTCCTTGATTTTAATCATATACCACACCTTCACAGAGCATTATTAGTGATTGCCAAGTGTTGATAATTAGAGAGATGATCCACACCTTTTTCAATATACTCTCCAGTTTATTTATTTTTTATTTATTTTATGGGACACAGTATCTTTATTTTTTATTTATTTATTTTTATGTGGTGTTAAGGATGGAACCCAGGGCCTCACATGTGCTAGGTGAGTACTCTACCGCTGAGCCACAACCCCAGCCCCCTCCAGTTTATTTTACAGCCAACGGAGCATTCTAAAATAGACAAAAGTAGGATTCAGGTAATTTTTTATATTAATATTATATAATGTTATGTTAATATATTTGTATTAATGTTGTGATATCATTTATTATGATTATTTTTATTTCTATTCTCAGGCATCAAAGATGTGATAATTTGGGGTAATATCAGTGGAAATAACTATGTTGATCTGAGGAAAACACGGGTTTACAAATATGACAGTGCCATTTGGGGACCTCCTGAATTTTCTCGCCCTGTTTTAGATGTGATTTTTGATAGGTACAGTATATTTTTAAGTGATGTATACTAACAATGTTAAATAAATGTATGATAGTTGTTACCTTCTTTAGAAGCATCCACAAATCTTTGTGCAAAATTAACTCATATTTTTACTCATATTTGTTCATGCTTTCTTTTAAGGCAAACAGAAAATTCTACAGAATATCATCAAGTTGCTCCCAATCCTATTTTTTTTTTAAAGAGAGAGAGAGAGAGAGAGAGAATTTCAATATTTATTTTTCAGTTTTCGGCGGACCAACATCTTTCTTTGCATGTGGTGCTGAGGATCAAACCGAGGCCACATGCATGCCAGGCGAGCGCGCTACCGCTTGAGCCACATCCCCAGCCCCTCCCAATCCTAATTTATTTGATTTTGAAATTATGTTTTTTATGTCAGATGATCCTTAAAGTAGTTTATTTACGTCATTAAACTTATCTCTAAAACAAATATATGTAAAGGTAATCTTATTTAGTGTAAAGACAGATATATATCCAAGTTTAAATTATTTGAGGCATTTTAAGAAAGAGGAATTAAAGATAATAAGCAAACCAGGCCATGCTGGGTATTGTGTCCCAAAAGAGGCAGAACTGAGAGGTGGTGAGGCACATAATCCCAGGACCAAGCTGCTTGGGTTGGAACTCTCAGCCACGTATCAGCTGTGTGGCTTTTGAGAAATCACTTAATCTCTTTATGCCTTAGTTTCTCCATCTGCAAAATAGAAACAGTAACATGAGATAGCCCATACAGGAATGCTAGGAACATGAAATGGATTAATCCAGGTAAAGCACAAAAAACACCAGCATTGTGATGAGGCAGAAGAGGAGACATCAGCAGGAGTGCCTTTGAAGCATTTTTCTAAACTCTACAACACTTTCCCAGTTGTCTCATATCCTTTCCATTTCCCCTCACTTTCCCCTCCTCACAACCTAGGAACTTGGTCTGTGTCTGGGAATGATGTGTCCCCGGTTTGCCCTTCTGGAGCCAGATTTCTCTTGTGTGCTGCCTACACGGGGCCAGTGTTGCATGGAGCTGTGTCATGTGCTAACCCATTAGCAGGGGCAGCCTTTTAGCACTTGTTCTAGCCAAGCTAGGCTATTCCCTGAGTTTAGATTCAGACCATAAAAACATAATTATTCCCTAAATCTCAGATGAATAATTCAGTGCTTCATGAAATTGTTTTATTTTAAATGAAGGATATCACTGGTTCCAAAATAACATCTACATAGAATAAATTCTTTGTAATGAAAGTAATTTTCCCTGCAGTATTTGGCCACTTTTCTGTGTTCCATATTCATATTATCATGGTGTTAGTTTGAAATTTTGGGATTCCTTTCTGCTACGCTTGATTATTTTTCCATCAACTTTTTATGGGGACTGAAGTCTGTTGAAGAAAGGGCATATGAAGTCATATTTCAGTCTTGAGTATGTATATAATTCCTGGTACTTAGTTTCATTGAACCAGAGAATATCTTTTGTAATTTGCATTCCTCTCTCCATTGTAAAATTGTTTCTTTTTCTCCTTACAGTGAGTGGGTAAAAAGAGAATTTGTGATGACCATTAAAAGTTTGACCTCCACGGGAAAACAATTTGGACGCATTTTAGCTTCACACAGTATAGCCACTACGTTGAAATATTGGTACCATGGCTCACCACCTGGAGAGATTGTGTCTTTAGGAGTACTGAGTGAAGGTAAATCTGGGTTTTTCATTTCTTGTAATATTTAAAAACCTCTGTCTAGGTCTTAAAATGGTCTATAACCTCTGTGAACTTTTATGTTACCATAATTCATTGTACAGTTATTCATTCAAAAACTCGACAATATTTTGTATGACTGCACTGGAAACACATTAGGAATTTACCTGGCATCTTCCTTTAGGAAATCTACAGTAAAGAACAGCCAGACACACTCAGTTTTATGAAGGCAAGAAAGGGAAAGCAAAGTCAGTTCTAGGCTGGGAGCAGGAAGAAACAGGGCATCTTCATAATGGACATCTTCACTATAGGAAGCCACAAAGTCTGAATGATGCTGAACTGGAAGACAAGAGTGAGAAGAGCACTGGTTATGGGAAGCCCTTGGAAGAAAGATGCAGAGTAGGATACAAATGAGTGCAAGAGGACCAGGCAGCACTAGAATGTGAAAAGGTTGCTCTCTGTCCACAAATACTAGGTAGAAATGTCTATAGCCTTAATGTTTTAATCTACTAAAACCTATTTAGCAGATAAACACTAGCTAAACCATCTTCTGCCATTTTTACAAAACAGGAAAGAGAATAGCTAATATTCTGTCCTCCATAGTTCTACCTAAAGCATCTCTTCCCTTTGTGTTTTCCTGTCTCCCTTAGCAAGCTTAGTTTCTTCAGTGCTGTCAGCCAGGGCCCCTCTGCTGAGTTCTAGCCTGCCAAATATGGCTACCTGTTTAGCAGGTAACCATGCTGTCACACATAACACAACCCAACATACACCAAACTGAACTTACTGTCTTCCTTCCCAATCTGATCTACCTCTTGCATTCCTTGTGTTATTAGCAGAATCATCACCATCTTCCACCTTGTTCCAGGGACTTCAGTGCATTTTGAAGACATCTCTCCAAATTCCCCATGTCAGAATTAACCTGTCTTCTCCTCTATACTCATGTAGTATTTCGTTCATCTGTCAGAGAGCATGTTGTAGTCTGCCTTTTTAGTTATATATGTGTCCTTTACTTGAGCATGTGCACTCTTAGGGCAGGGGCTTTGTCTGGGTCATCTTTCTACACCTTCCTATAGGAGCATTTTGTATGGAAAACACTCAGTGAATCTTATTCAATTGAGGTTAAGATTCATGAACATTGCCACAGTGTGATTTTAAATCATTGTATGTGACTTTGTAGGAAAATGGGTACTTAAAACCCTTTATTTATAGAAATAAAGTTGAATTAATCTCTATAGGAATTTCATTTCAAAAATGAAAGGGGGAAGAAGATATCCTAGTGACTACATTTTCAGTGTCCAGAATGGCAGGAATCATTTTCTTATTTGAGGCATCAAAGAAGGTGAATCATCTTATCTGAATGGTTCTCAATTAGTAATAAATAATGCCAATCTTTTTACAGAGAGCACAATTCAAATGAGGCCCTGGAAACTGCAAAGAAATAGCCAACTTTCCTGCCCACTTCTTTCCTTTCCCTGTCCTTCATACCCTGGCAATAAATGACTGCCGTAGTAGGCTAGAAGACTGGAAGACCAGATTGGACAAATGACTTTGCTCATGGGCTTTATAGGGAGCCATGGAAAAGTTGTAGGAAACAGATACAAAGAATCCAGGCAAGATTTAGAAAGGAAAGAGTGCATTAACCCTTGGGACAGGAGAGAACTAGAGATGGGAGTACTGTCAGCACTTAAACAGGTGCTCAGCCAATACTTAGAAAGTGAGGGCTTCAGTCCTCCCTTGAGGAATTTCTAGAAATTTAGTTCACCATTCTCATTATAAGTTGTCTATTATGTGTGTCCTTTTCTATAACACTTAATAGGGTTTGTTTTTCTGAATGCTTTTGTTTTGCTTTTCTTTGTATCTACTCACTACAGGCCAGTTTGGTATTCCCGAAGGGATTGTCTTTTCTATGCCTGTGAAATTTGAGAATGGAACATGGGTGGTTCTTACAGATCTCCCAGATGTTGAAATAAGTCAACAAATAATGAACAGAATGACGAGTGATCTAATTCAGGTAATGCCAGAGTACATTCAAGGGAACTGACTTTGACAATGCTGAAACTGATTCCCCCAGGGCAAAGCAAACATTGGTTTTCTGTGGGTTCAATTTGTACCATATTCCTAAAAATAATGAGGCAATGAAAGTTTGAAGAAATCTGCAGAAGAACACTACTCATCTGATTGTATAACGTCTGGTATGTTAAAAATATCATTTATTTAACATGAAGAATCAAAGCATTTTTTTCTTTAAATAATAAGTAAGTAAGTATGGTCATTTAATTCTCTGATTATAAAATTTGTCAACAGGAGAAACTTGTTGCACTTGGAGACATGCTGACTTTTCAACCATATCATTCAGGTAACCTCTTGAATGTGGTGTTGTGTTTCACTGCTATTAAAGAGTTTTAAATACTTGTTACAACAATCACTGTTAATATAGATGACTCTAATTCATGTTTTATTATTTTTAAACCAAATTATTGACAAAATAAACTGCCACGTTCAGTATATCTTTTGAAATAAAACAGAAGAATGCTAAGAAAATCATATCTTAAAAATGCCATGACCTTATAACTTTGGGGAATAATATATTAATTAGTTTTTGAGAACTACTATAACAAACTACCACAAACTGTGTGACTTAAAACAATAGGAACTTATTTGCTTACAGTCAAAGGACTGGAACACTTAAATTCAGCCATCAGTAGGGCCATGTTCCCTTTGAAGGCTCTGGGAAGAATCTTCCTTACCTCTTCTAGCTTCTGATCCAACACTTGGTGTTCTTGGCTTGTAGCTGTACCACTCTAATCCCTGACTTCCCTTGTATGTGTGTCTTCCTTTTGTGTGTTTGTTTCTAAGTGTGTCTTTCCTTATGAGGGTGCCAGTCATTGCATTTAGGACTCACCCTAATCCAGTAAGTCTACATCTTAGATTGATTATATCTTCTAAGACCCTATTTTCAAATAAAGTCACATTCACAGGGGTTAGAACTGCAACATACCTTTTTGGAAACATAAGTTAAACCACACCACCATATTTACTTTTAGATAACTTAGTTTAAATTCAGGAAATTTCAGTAAGCTTATTTTTTTCATTGATATTTTCTCTAATCAGAAACTCATAAGAAGTGCTGTCATCTCTCTTTTTTTCCTTTATTTTAGAGAAAATCCCACCTTAACTGTGGAAATAGGCATGTAGAAATAAATTAATGTACATGAAGAGCTTTAGCCAAATGTTTTTTGGAGTCCAACATTTTCTTCCACTATCACTTATGGATTACCAACTGTAAGTCAGTGCTAGGAGCTAGAAATACATGAATAGATACAGTAGACATGATCTTACTCTCTTGGAACCTACAGTCCACTAAGGGGCCACGTGTATAAATGACTCCGTTGTGGTACATCTTAGGAATGAAGAAGTACAGAGTTCTGTGCTGTGAGAGGCTTGGGGATAGGAGGAAAGAACTTGAAGCAGAAAAGCAAAGATCAGCTTGTTTGGAAAAAAAACTGCGAAAAAGCTTATGTGGCTAAAGCCTGAAGAGGTTGTGTGGAGAGAGCCATAAGGTGTGGACCCAAGAGCTATGGGAGGCTTCTGGGTAGAGAATAACATGATCATGAGCAGTTGGCAGAGGAGCATGAGAGAGGGGTAGTCGAGAGAAGGATGAGCCTCTGGAATTGCTCAGGTGGGGATTCGTTTGGAAAATGTGCTGGAATAAGGCAAGGCTGTCTGCAAAAAGACTGATGTTAGGAGGTGGCACAGTGACACGAGGAAGAGAGCTTTATAGCCAAGACTAGAGGCAAAGCAATTGGAGAGATCTTTAGATGTGATTATCAAGATTTGATGATGGGTTGGCTCTGAGGAGTCCCAGAGGACTCGGGCTTCTTTTGGTTAAACAACTCGTGGATTTCCTGAAAGGTTTGGGAATTCAGAAGCGATTCTGACCGTTGGTCAAGTTAGAAGCAGTCCAAACCAAGAAGCCCAGAGACAGAGCAGAGGTGAAAAGTGCAGGCACAGAGGGTTATGTAGAACTCTTATTCCCAGAATTTAGAGGCTTTCTGGGTGGCTTTCTGCATTTGGCAGACTAGAACTCAAATTCCTTTTATCAGAGAGGGCTATAAAACTGTTGTCCTAAATTTGACTCCATTGACTTGTAGCTGGTCCTACATTTCCCATCTATATTTGCCTTATAGAGAGTCTTGAAAAAGAAAATGACCTGATAATATGCTGTGTTCTTATTAACAAAGGTCAAGGGGTAGGTAGGTGGGAGGGTGTGCGCAGGCGTGCATGCAGGAGTATTTGATTGACCTTGACTCTGTTACCTTTGAACCTTTGCAGGGATCCCAAACTTAGAGCATTGAAGTAATCAGAGCATTGCACACTCACAGTTTGGAGAACTTTGCTCAGTAACTTATCACTGATATGATTCGTGTATGACTTTTTTTAATCTCTTCAATTAATTTAATGCTTACCTTTCTGACTTTTAGAAACTGAATTATCCCTAAGAGACAGAAGGCTCTCCTTAGCCAGCACAGATGACAAACAGGAAGAACAAAATGGTAGGTACACATAAGGAAAAGGTGCCTTTTTTAATCTAAAGGTTAACATTAAATTTCAAAGAAAATAATTTGATCATCCATTAACTATAAAAAGGGAGTTAAGTCATTTGTCACCCTTATCACATACTAAAAAATAAGATCATATTTAAAATTTATTTAAAACTTTGGAGGAAATAACCCAAAATTTGTGGTGCATCTTCTATTTCCTGGTTGCTGGGGGACACAACAGGGAAGCTGGCCGCACAAACCCTGTAGAGGAAAGGAGCCTTGAGACTCTGAGGTGCAGGACACTCAGTGAATTAGAAAACATACTAAGTTGGGGCACCATAGGGTGAAAGAAAGTACATAATAAGTAACTCTAAAACCTCACAAGGAAAGGAAGGATCCTTTATGTAAGATGGAGAAAGAAACTTGAAATCTACCTGGGACTTAAGATGGCTAAAGATAAACAAATTGGCATTTATTTATTCAGAAACTGTGCTAGTTCAGTTATATAAGTTGAAAAGCTTCCAGAGATCTGCTGCACACAATGTACACATAGTTAACTGTGTCCTTAAAATTTTAAGAAGGCAGATTTCCTGTTATATGTATTTTGCCCATAGGGAGGAAAGAAAGGAGGGAGAAAGTGAGGAAGGAAGGGAAAGAGGGAGGGAGGGAGGGAGAAGGGGTGCTATATGATAGGAACATAAAAATAAACGTTAACATCTGCCCTAAAAAATATTTTCCATGGAGCATAGGAAATAGCTAAGAGAAAATTACCTCACTGAGAGATGTCTAAGTTTGTTCAGGCTGCTATAACAAAATACCATACGCTGGCTGGGTGCAGTGGTACAGGACTGTAATCCCAGTGTCTCAGGAGGCTGAAGCAGAAGAATCATGAGTTCAAAGCCAGCCTCCGCAACTTAGTAAGGCCTTAACAAGCCAGCAGGACCCTGCCTCAAAATAAAACATAAAAAGGCCTGGGGATGTGGCTAAATGACCCTGGGTTCAAACAACAGTACCAAAAGATAAACAAATAAATAAACAAACTGAATAGCTTGTAACAATAGAACCTTATTGGCAGATTTGTTGTGTGATCAGGTTCCATTTCCGAGTTCATACATGGTGCTTCTCACTGTGTCCTCACATGGTAGACAAGGACAAACAAGCTCCCTTGGGCCTGTTTTATAAAGATATAATCCCATACATGAGGACTATACTCATGACTTAATCACCTCTCAGAGGCCCCACTTTTAGTATAGTACATTGAGGTTAAGGTTTCAACATAGGAATTGGGGTGGAGGGATAACTCAAGCATTTAGGTCCTATCAAATGGTAGGAGGTCCAGGGTGAAGTGGAAGGACCTAGGGTCTCCTAATATAATATTAGGAAGGCCTTTCCAGAAGAGATGACATGAGACCTGCTCTGGAAAGATGAGTAGGGACCATTCATTTGATTTAGAGAGAACCTCCTTCTTAGGAGGTTGTGAAAGTATCCACCAGGGGAAAGGAATGTGGCAAAGGAGGCATTTCAGGAAGTCAAGACTTAACCAGAACTTTCAACCCAGAGCCGTTAAAAAAATAAATAAATAAAATGGTTTCCAGAAGATATTAAGTAGGGTAGCTGGGCTAAAGCAGAGAATGTAAAAAGGATGAGTGGAGTCGGTAAGGTAAGGAGGGGCCATGTACTATTCAGCTGTATGGTTATCAGTATGGCTGGTGGACGGCGTGACAAAGCAGGAAATAGATGGCTTACAGAACTACTCTGGATGCATCATAGGCCCTGTAGAGGATTTTTACATATCCCAAATCACTGTCCAAATGAGCTTGGTAAACTCAGTCCTAACCCGAGGAGATCTCTCAAGAGGACCCCTTAGCTAGAGCTACGTCTGGGCATCTGAGTAACAGTACTGTCATTCTAGTTGACCCAACAGGTATTAAGCAACACTCAAGGAAAGAACTGAGAGGGAACTGAGAAACTTACTAGCTCTGTTGTGAGGAAGCTGACTGGCAGATTTCCAGGATAGAGGAAGAAAAGCCAAATTGCAGAGAGTGAATTCCATAGAATACATAGAATTTAAGTTACCAGTTAAAATCCTAGGCACTAAGAACTCGTACCAAGTAATATTCTTATGAAGACTCAAAAGCTTCATTAGTGATAAAGTGAAGAAAGTAGCATAGATTTCAGGTTGATTTGGGAGCTATTTGTTGAAAATCAAGAGGCACTTACTATAGGACTTTCCATATTGTGGAAACAACCTCCATAACCTTACTGGATTGTTTAAAAAAAAAAAACTAGTGACTAATGAAATCAATTTCATTACTAGCATTTTTTTCATCTAAATATTGTAAAATTGATAAGAAAATAGTAAAAATTCCAGGTCCTTTTTGCCCCCAACAAACTAAGATTTTTAAGAAAAAAATAAACAAGTATAGATTAGATAATATTATTTTATATAATTTTTGTTTCATTTTAATGTATAAAAGTGTATGTCCTGGTGTATAACATAAAATGTACTCTTGACTGTGGATCCTGGTCTACCACCCTTGAAAAACACTGGCTTAGAACATCTCATAGGCTGTTGTTTATATTCTAAACCCAATGTGTTTTCTTTAATGTTACTTTCAGACCATCAAGATAGCATATTTTCTGATCAAGCCCCAGATGACGAAAAAGATGCAGTGCTGTCAGACGGTAAGTCACTGGGGCTGTGGACAATCTTTGTGGTGCTCATATTCACGGCTCATATCAGCCAGTCTTAGATGTGGTGGTCAGAAGAACATGCCCAAAAAACCAGAACAATTTTTGAAAAGCTCTCTGTTACTTTTCTTACACTTCATAAACACTTTGAATGGGGGGATAAAAATGTCAATATATGTTTAAGACTGAAACTGTTTCCATTTCAGACTCTCCCAAAATACTCCAACCTCAGCTCTGGCCCCTTGTGTCTTGTCCTTCTCACATTTCCTTTTTCTACTTAATTCTTCTTTACAAAGCTGAAATAGCCAATATGGCTAGACAGGATCGTTCTCGGAAAGTGGGTCAGAGGAACAGACTGAGAAAGCCAAGTTAGAATTCTCCTAAGAAAGGAAATCTGGTGATTGCCCACCCGCTTTCTCTGTCATATAAATGTCTATATCACATATATAACTTGCAAATATTTATGCAGAGGATCATATATTTTCTGAATCTTCCTATACAAATCACATGTCAAAATAATAATAATCTAGTCTGCTTCCATTTTTACTACTTCTTTACCTCTTTGAATATAAAGAAGCTGGCAAGCACTGAGATGTTCCCCAGTGATTTCTGTTGTGAGGCCATGGCTTCACAGGAAGTTGCTAAAAGCTGCTATTTGGCTGGATTCAAGCCATAGTCTTAGATTGAGATTCCATAAAAAAAAAAAATGTGTTCTAACATCATACAACTCCTCTCAGGGAAAGGCACTGAGAGAAACTTGAGTGAAAAGAACAATATAGATGAAAATGAGAATAACTGCAAAACTCAATGTGCTTTAAATGCTAAAAACTATTTTGTTAGTTCTTTACTTACTACAGTAGAGTTTTTAGATTTGATTCCACAAACCATCTACCCATAAATGGTCGGTGGGTAGACAAAACATTAGTGAATATTTTCTTATTCTACAAACAGAACTGGGCAATAGAAAATCCAGTTTTCTTGTTATGCAATTCTTTTTAAATTCTTCTTGCTCCCACATCCCCAGGCACTCAGCCTGACTTGCCCACTCTTCTGGAACCTAGCTTCCCTCTTTTATAACCAAAGCTATAACTGCAAGATCCCTAATCCTTCCCTCAGAATGAATGACTGAATAAGGAAGAAAACAGACCAGATATATCTGCAAGTCTAGTTTCCAAAGTAAGTTACTGAGTTCTCCTGATATCTTATGAAAACAAGGCAGACAGATTTCTTTGTAGTTGACCAATCAGAATGTTCACCCAAGTCTCCACACTTATGCAAATGTTCAATAAGATGGACACAATCTAGTGCACCTTTTATTCTGATGGGCTTTGGAATGGAGTTAAGCACAGAGAATTAGAATTGGTCTATTCAGGAGAAGCAGAACCTAGAGATGAAATGGAGCTGAGAATATATCTGCATACATAATTCACAATGAGAAACAAAGGAGCCAAAAGAGACTGCACATGGAAATGGCGTAAGGTCAGGAGAGAGGCCAGAATTCATTTTGAAATATATGAAAATATATTTTGAAAAAAATATATGAAAATATATAATGATGATCTTCTGGTTTTATTTCCCCATAGAATCTACCTGACACATGGACTCCCTTGGCCATTGAATCAGATTGAATACAGTAATCCAGTAAATAGAATGAAGAGAGGAAAAAATGAAAAACTAATAAAAACCATAGCCTACTTGATGTATTTTTTAAATTGTTACATCTTTTGTTTTTCTTTCTTGTACATACTCCAAAGGCAAAGCTGCAGAACTATAACAGATTCAATTAGACCAAAATGAAGTTATTTGGTACTGCAACAAATATAAAAAGACCTGTGAATGTCAGTATTTAAAAAAAAAATAATTTTGAAGAATTTATTTCAGTCTTAGATAATATTATTCTAGGCAATTAAATAAAACTGATAGAACAAAATGTCAAGAGTTCAATCATTTTGTGGTACCTGTATCCGTTACTATGTTTATTATTGCATTTTCTCAAATAGTTTGGTGTCAAATATTATTTTCTTAAATAACATTTAAACAGTTGTCAATCATTGCATCTTTGCTTGTATATCCTCCTGAGAGAATCAAGGAGACCACTTATTTATTAACTTGATCTTTCTTTTCTAAAAAAATACTTGAACTGAGACAAATGAATGAGTAAGTTTGTGTCTGCGTGAACTAAAAAAGACCACAAAATTCTACCTATGAGATCTTCAGGGCTGGTCAGGTTTGGTACCTCCAGACCTGGCTATGTGCTGTGCTCTCTGGGATTTGCTTGAGATGAGTGTCTTTGCAACAAATTGTATTTTTGTCTTTAACTTCAATTGAATAGGTTTTTATTTTTGACACCAGATATGGCTTTAATAAGCTGAATTTTGAAGGAAAAGCATAGACTTTGACTATAAAATTGCATGCTTGAAATAAAAAAATTGTCATTAAAAATTTCTAACAGGGCTCGGGATGTGGCTCAAGCGGTAGCGCGCTCGCCTGACATGCATGCAGCCCGGGTTCGATCCTCAGCTCCACATACAAACAAAGATGTTGCGTCCACCGAAAAACTAAAAAAATAAATATTAAGAATTCTCTCTTCTCTCTCTCTCTCTCTCTCTCTCTCTCTCTCTCTCTCTCTCGTTCTCTCTCTCTCTCCCCCCCTCTCTCCTCCCCCCCCCTCTTACCCTCCCCGCCTCTCTCTCCCTCTCTTAAAAAAAAATTCTAACAAATGCGAAGTAGAAACTTTTGAAAGTCCAGGACTCTTATTATAAAAGACTGAAGTTGTTTCTATACTTTTGAACATCTCTTAAGGTCCAGATTGCTTTCTGAAAATCAGGAGACGTTCACATGCCTCTATATTGTTTCTATACCAGCATATAGTGAAATGGATAATTTCAAAACTATGACTGATTTTTGCTTGTCTTTAAGGTTAGCACTTGATTTGATGTTATTGTGAAGAAAACTTTAATGTCTGTGTTAAGGACATCAGTCTGTGCCCTAATCTACTGTCACTTCCCCTGCCTTTCTTTGTGGACTCCTTAGCCAAAGTAGTGTGGCCACAAAGAACAATAATTGAATGAATTCTCTACACATAGCTGCAGAACTTTTTCATGGTAAAAGTGAGCTAGGTTAAAAAATGTGATTCAGACCAAGAAACCAAAGAAAAGCTTCCTGTTCCATTTTCTTTGAACCAGTTATGTGAATCACAGAGCACTTAGGACAAGGTGGAAAAACTGAAACAGAATATAACCATGAACACACATTACCTCTCACCACAATGGCCATGCTACTTAGAGACATTTTTCCCAATAGTTGTTAAGTTCAAACCAATAAGATAATGTTTTTTTCTGCAATTGATGGATATCAAACTAGAGAGAGACAGGCAATTTTATCCTCTTGCAACACATTCATCCTAATCCTCAGCATTCTGTACTTTCCAGCATAAATATGAACTATTATATAGCATGCGCTAGGAGAGACTCCCATATGCAAATGGAACAACTTGACCTTAATCACTACATCTGCTACAACACCCTTGTCCCAAATTAATATAAAATATTACTCTTGGAGAAGAGTATTCATGTTTGTTATTTATTTAAAAATAATGACAGTGCCATCTCAAAAATAATTTTCAGGGAGATTTTAGTTTTTTGACTCTTGCACTGATTCTCAGAGTAGTCTGTTACCAATTTGGGAAACATCTGGTTTCTCCACTAGAAATAACTTAAGTGTGAGATTATTTTTAAAAATTCTGTTATTAAAATTGACATGGTACAGGCATGAGGGAGGGATATTTGGTAGAAAAATTAGTGCATGATTTGGGGAAAGGTGGTATGTGTAAAACAATTATTGGTCACTGAAAAATGAGTTAAGTGTCTATAAATCCTTGTGACTTTAGCAGTTATCAGTTGCTTCTCCCACATCCCTGCCCTGTCATCTTAACTAAAGAACTCTGATTTTGTTGGGATGAGCCTAATACTAGGGAATAAATATTGATACATCTAATTTAGTCCCTATTTGACAGTGATTGGTCTAGGGACAGGCATGTTATCCAGTTTTGGACAATGACACATAAAGAGAAGTCTTTTGAATATCTGTATGCAAGATACAGGTCCTCCCTGCTTCCTTCCTTCCTGCTTAAAATGATATCCTACTGTATTAGAGGTTTTATTTTTTATTTATTTATTTTTTTAACTCCTGTGAACAATTTTAGAAGAAGAAAAGTTTATTTGAAATCTCATGGATTCAGAGGTCTTAGTTCCATAGGCAGCTGACTCCATTCCTTGGGGCTTGAAGTGAGGCAGAACATCATGGCAGAAGAGTATGGTGGAAGGAAGTGGCTTCAGACCTGGCCACAGGAAGCAGAGAGAGACTTCAAAATATGCAAAATTTATGTCCCAAAGGCATGTCCCCAGGCCCACCTCCTTCAGCCGCACCCTACCAGTTCTCAGTTACCACTCAATCAATCCCTACTGGAATTAATTCACTGATTACATCAAAGCTCTCATAACCCAATCATTTCACCTTTAAACTCTGATGCATTATCTCACACTTGAGCTTTTAGGGGAAACCTAATATATAAACCATAACAATCCAAGTTGGACAAATGATATGTGCAAAGGCAAGGAAGCAGCAAATCTGAATCTTATAAAATTGAGCATGGACTACAGTGGATGGTATTAAAACCCTAAAAGAATTTACTGGTATGTTTCGAGAAGAATTCTGTGGTCAGAAAGTGAAATCCAGACTACAATATCTGGGGTGAAATTAAGGATAAAATGAGTTAGGGAGTGGTTGATTTAGAGGGTGACTGCCTACAGCCTAGGGCAGTGGTTGCCAAAGTATGATCCCCAGAACATCTCCTGACAACATGTTAAAAATGCAAATCCTCAGGCCCCTCCTAAACCTGCTGAATTGCAAGCCCTAGGTATCATAAACTCAGCTATCTGTCTTAACAGTTGGTTCTGATTTATTCGGTCCTACTGGTCTAGGAGTGATGTAGGTTGATGGCAGCAGATATTCTGGCTAGAATTGGGGAGAATATTAAAAATATGAGTTAATGCAGGTTAATCTAATCAGTGAATTAATCCAGATAGGGATTAACTGAATGGTAATGAAAAGCAGGTTTAGATGTGGCTAGAGGAGGTGGGTCATTGGGGACGTGCCTTTGGGGCTTATATTTTATCTCTGGCAAGTGGAGTGTCTCTCTGCTTCCCAGCACCATGTTCCCACTTGCCTTCCTCCACCACCATTCTCTTCGTGTGTTGTTCTGCCTCACCTCAGGCCCTAAGGAATGGAGTCAGCCATCTCTGGACTGAGACCTCTGAAGCATGTGAGCCCCCAAATAAAATAAGTCCTTTGGTCACAGCAGTGAAAAATCTGACTAAAACAGAGTGTCCCAAAATCTATGTCACTGGAGTCTTTTTAGGTCTGACACTATGGAGCAGTCTTTTCTCGATTGGCCAAATCATTACTTCTTTCTCTTTATTTCATGGAGATGAAACATATAAATTATAAGACTCCAAGAGACAGAAGTAGGATAAATCACTTTCCCCTCCTCTACTTCCTGTTACAAGTATGAAACTTTTGTTTGCCCCTCTGCTGGCCTTAAAGTAAGCATCTTAACTCCAAAATGATCCTGATCCAGAGATGAATGCTTACTCAGTCTGCAGAGGACAGAGAAAGGTTACCCAAGCTTGCAGCTGAGCTTCTGGAAGCAAACTAGTAACCCTCCCAACAGTGAGCAGCTGCTCTGCCCTCAGACTAATTTTTTTTCTGGGCAGAAATTATGAGCTCACAGAGATCACTAATCATAAATCTCTCATTTCACTGGTACAAAGAAGCATGGCTTGTATATAAATGAGCCATAATCAAGGATTTTGCAGAGTGTGCACAATCTCCTCCCTCCTTGTAGGCGTGCTGCCTATCTCTGGAAAAGAGGTCACAAATCCAAGTGCATCATGCTCAAGAACAACATGCAAGCATCACACTCAAATCAAATTTCATCCATACACAAAATTACCTCCATGTTTGCAAAATCATAAGACAAGCTCTCAGTCTTTCCTTTGACTTAGATGTGGTTTCATGTGTTGCAAGATTGGTCCCCAATGTGGCAATGTTAAGAGATGGTGAGACGGTTAGGAATTGAAGCCTAGTGGGAGGTCAGTTGGGGGTGCTGCCCCAGAAGGGATTGAGATAGTTCTCATGGGAACCTGTTAGTTTTCTAAAGAGGGTTGTTATAAAAAGAGCAAGTCTGGCCTCTCCTCCCACTCTGGTTTCCTGTCTTGCCATGTGCTCTCTCCCTCTTGCACAGGGTCACACTGTGATGCCATCTGCCTTAATATGATGCAGCAAGGAAGGCCCTAGCTAGAGCTGGCACCATGCTATTTGGACTTTTTTTTTTTAACAATGAGCTAAATAAACCTCTTTTATTTTTAAAGAACCCATCTTCAAGGGGTTTGTTACACTAATAGAAAATGGACTAGTATAATCGTCATGCTTTCTTGACCTATCTGCTACATTTGACATGGAAATTAGGAAGTTTTTAAAAACAGCAAAGAAGCTAGCCAGAATGAGCACAAGAGAGATATAGGATGGGTTTGGAGAAAGAGGCAGATCATGGACAGGTTTATTAAGCCTGGGTTAGTAATTTGGATTTTGAAGCTATGAGCAAGTGCTTATGAAGATTAGAGGCAAGTAAGAGTAGATAAAAGCATGCACAGGGAAACTGGTGGTATCCCAAGCAGGGGATGCTGGGTGCCCAATCAGGGAGGTGGCAATGGGAATAGAAAGAGGGAGAAAATTTGAGAAATATTTTATAAGAAGCCTTTATAGGATTTGAAGACAGAATAAATATAGTAAGGAGATCAAATACAAAAGAGAAAAAAGATTACCTGGTTTTGGTTTGAACAACTGGGTGAATGGTGGTGCCTCTTCCAG